CCTACCCCCTCTGCCCTCCCCTCGGCCCCAAATTGCACTCTACTATTGCAACCATATTCTGGATTCCTGTGATAATCACAATATGCTATCATAGATCACTTTTAAACTATTCTCTCCCTTATCTGTTTCAATTCAGTATACATAATCTACCCAGTTTTTCTCAGTTAACTGTCTTTTTGTAAAATTATAAAGACTATTTTAAACCTCAGGACAGACAGGAAGTAGTACATAGAGGATTAGTAAATTAAAGTTTTATTTTTAACAACAGGGCAAGAGCTGTGTGTGTGATCATCTACTCTTCTTGTATCAGCACCACCATCCCCACAGTGAGGTGGCTATGTCGGCTTAATTAGCACAAGGCACTAACAAGGTCAGACTCCTGGATTCCATTCAAGCACAGTGCAGTTTCTATCCCCTGACGTCAGCCTCCCTGCACTCAGAAGGGCCCTTTATCTCAAAATGAGTGTTTGTACAGGGGCCGCTGAACCTCACCAAGGGCTGACGATGTGTCATGCATGATTCTAAGCACTCTGCACAGGTTGGCTAAGTAAGTCATCGAAATCTTTACAATTCTGAGGAAGATAACTGCTCTGCTAACATTCCTATTCTCTGGATGAGTAAAGCAGGGAACCCAAAGGATGAAGACTTCCTCGAATCTATACAATAAGAGGAAGAACCATCTCAGGGCAGAGCCCACAAACTTCACCAGTGCTGTAATTCTTTTAAAAAAGAGCAAGTAAGATCAGTAAACCCTGAAACTCAACACAGTCCCCATTGCTGTAGGCCAATATCATGGACGACAAGCAGGAGCCAATGGCATTTTATAAATGTTATCTCAAAAATGTATAGAGGGAAAAGCACCAGAAACAGAATTCTATATATTATATCATATATATATACTTTTTTAAGAAAACAAGCAAAATTAAATTTTAAGTGGAAAAACTATGCAGAAATCTTTGGAGCAACTGTTAGTAAATATTTACTGTTTGGAGAATAAAAGGAATAACGGACAAGACAGGAATTTCTGGACACTGGCTTTGTTCTATTTTTTGTGTAAATCATTTATCCTGGCGTGAGGGTGGGAGTGAGGGGTAAGACCCATGCTGGTGCAGAATCTCTGGGGTAAAATGTAAGAAGCCAGCAAGCAACATACGTGAATCCTTTCCTTAACTCTTCTGAACACACAAAACCAAACTAAAACCCACTCTCAAAATATGTCATAAAACTCCAAAGTAACAAAAGGGAAATCTTACAACGTTCTATTTAATTCTGTATAGTGATGAATCTTTACCAACTTGATGTATTATGACATGTTTCTGGTACAGCTTCAAAATGAACTTTTTTACTGAGAACTTTATCGCAGTAAAACTTTGTGTGGCATTGACCTTAACCTATGGTTAACACCATGCATAATGCCCATGATGGCTTGTGGATCAGGCCACAGATCCATCATTTTCTCTGGTCAATTTTTAGGGAGAAAAAGTAGATCATGAGTTCTTTCACCCTCATCTGCTTTGGTCTGGAAGCGCCACTGAAGCCTGTTCAGAATCAGAGGCAGGTAGGAGCTATCACATAAGGTGCACTGACCAGGAATCAAGCCCAGTCTATCACGAAAGGTGTTACTCCTATCACTGAGCCACCAAAGCCCTCTCGTATTTGATTAAGTATATAACATCAAAAGGTTGTGTAATTATCTCTTGCTGAATGCAATTCTGCAAGGCAAGAAGAATGCGATAAGCACTATATATAAAAAAGGTAATATAGCACCATAAAATTTCCAGTAAATCTCCCATAAATCCCCTCAAGGAGATTAGTCATACTAGAGAATTCTCCTAACAACATGCATGGTGATTGGGAGAGCTCCCTAGGATGACTAAGGAGGCTATTCCAGGGAGAAAGGCATCATACTTGGAATGGCAGAGATTCAATCAAAGCAAGGAAGACCCTCAACCAGCTGGGCCAATACAGTGACTGTTGCAAAGGGGTTAAATATGTCAGAGATGCTGAGGATGGCACAGGAGAAGCCGGGGTTCAAATCCTTTGTCCACAGGGTGGCTATGAGTTGTAGTCAATTTGATGGCACCTAACAACAACAGGGAGTGCTCAAGGCCTAGTGGATAGGCACTGTGCTGCAGCACGAAGAGGCTGTTTGAATTCAGCAGCTACTCTGTGGGAGAAAGATGGGCAGTCTCTTCTGGTGCAGTTTATTGCCTCTGCAATCCCACTGGAGGGGCAGCCAATTCAATGGCACATGGT